TCTTCGTTAAGGTAACAGATAGTTTTATCCATGTTTTTCTTACGCGTATTTTGTAGATATACGTGTCACGAAGGCTTTTCTGTGCAGACAAACGCGTTGTTGGATACTGTACCAAGATTGTTTTGTTGTTTTTCATGCCTCTGATGTTCATGCTTGTGCTTCGTGCCAGTCAGGTTGGTACTTATTTGGGTAGCCAAATGACAAAATAGACAGCTTCCCCGGGTTGGAAGCTTTACTCATATAGGCAAAATGCACACTATAAGCCAGTTTGTTCATATCAGATTCATGGTTAGTTGAAGAAGGTTGACGGACATAGGAAATTAAACTTTACCTTCTTACGCACTGTAGTCTATGTGTTTACCCTTTAAAATGATATCTAACTGCATGAAATGAGCTATTAGAGATATAATGCACTGTAGTTTGAAGAAAGAAAAAGTGAAGTGGCGCACGTTTTTATGAAGTGAGAAGCAAGAAGGAGAAAAATAAAGCTGTTGGAAGTGGTGCAATGCAGTTACATAAGTTGTAATGCAAAGCCACAATGGGTAATATAGACAAAACACTCACATCTAAATAACTCACTTCCGACCTACGTTTACTATTCTGTTTCCGAACACTAGTCCAGTGAAAATAAGAAGGTGGGTAAAGGGATTATAGATGAGTTAACCCCCACTACATCCCTGTTTAACAACACGTTCAGTGTAGTGTTGACTCGTTTGTGACTGATTCAGCACCTCGGACAGCGACCGGCGCTCGAGCCAGGGACTAACAACAAACCGCTGGCTCTGAGTCCGCTGCAGACAGAGTCCACACGGAACGTACGCCTGGCCAAGCTCCACAATGATATATGTGTTGTTGGAAAGCTACTGACAAAGAAAACGTGAATTAATAACAAATGCCAGTGAAGGAACCACAGTCACATACATTCGCTGTATTATTCGGAATCATAAATTGATGCTCTAATGACACCATGGCCTATTACAAAATGTTATCTGAAGTAAGCAAACTTGAGATTCAGTTGCATATCAACCTGGAAAATGTTTCTAGCAATAGGCATCTCACAGGCTTATTGGACCGGCGGCCTGACAAATGCAATTATAACAGTTTCATAGAGGGGTGGTGTGGGTTGTGGAGCCTTGTCTTTCTGCAATTGTAGAAGAGAAATGGTTTCCAGCCACTTTCCAATACAGGCTGCATTCTTCCTGCGCACATCCTCTCCAGATGAGAAACTACTTTTCTTTGATATAAAGGCCTGTCAAAAAAACACAAAACAAAGCAAACAAACAAACAAACAAAAAAACCTGAATGGTTTAAAGAGGTTTTCATTAAAAGACAGCCGACCTAAACCCTGATGTTTCTGTTAGACACTCTGACTACAGTCATCATTAAAATGTTGCAGGCTTTGCCTTCAGCTTTGTCTGGAATCTCATTCATGTTTTGAAAATCTAAACTACTGATGTGAACCACATATTTAACCCCTGGTAGGCAGTCATAGTTGTTTTTGTATTTTTCATCTCTGGTATGCAAATGTTTATGCAGCTTTACAGGTCAGCCATAATTCAGCGATTTAAGGAGTCAGAGATTGTGTCGCAAAGGACTTT